CCCCCCCCCTCCCCCCCCCCATCCCCTCCTGCCCCAACTCACTGTCCACTCACCGGTTGAGCTGGAAAGCCGTGCTCTTCCCATGGACCCCCAGTTTCTCCACACCCTCCTGGCCCTGCCTGGACTCCTCCGCCTCGGGTGTGGGGGCCAGGGAGTCACTGTAGGGCCCCAGGATGCTGACTGTGGTGGGGGAGAGGTCTGTGAGGGGCTGCTGGCTCCCCGGCTGCCTCCCACCACTCTGCTGCCCCGAGTGACGCCGGCGTTTCTGATTACGGTCCCAGCTTTGGAGAGAGACAAGGAGTAAGGTAAAGAGAGCCCCCTCAAACAAGCCCTGGCCCTCGATGACAGAGAGGTTTGTGGGACCCCACTACGCTCAGCATTAGAGCCCAGCTCAGCCAAACCTCACAAGGGCTTGCAGTACTAGATCTGCACCCCTGGGACACATGTCCCAAGCTTGTAGTCCTGCCCATCCACCCGCAGACACCCGTGTGGTGAAAAGCCTCCATCATTCCAAACCCCACTCACCAGAACTTGAATATGATCCCAGTGGCGACCAGAACAATGATGATGGAAATGGTGATGGTGACGTACAGTTGGGGGTCCACACCTGCGAGACAGAGGGGGAGAGCAAGGTGTGATGGCCACCCTCACCAGTCCCCGGAGAGCAGCAGTGCAAGGGAGGTTTCTGCTGGAACCCTTATTAATTTTGCAGAAGGAGCTGCTCGTGCGGGGATGGAGTGGGGTGAAAGAAGCCAAGGGCAGATTTACCTTCCCCCCTGGGCCCAAACAAGAAGGGCCGCAGGGTGGCTGGGGTCTCGCGCAGGTTGAGCCCCGCGTTGTGCAGGAGTGAGTGGGAGTTGGGCTGCGCCGTTGCCATCCCGTGTGGCGATACAAAAGTGTATCCCAGCGGTGGGAAGCCCGGGTTGGCTGAGTTGGCGTCCCCTCCATCCTCATCGGACACTGTGGGGCCCCACACGATGGCCCAGGGGTACTGGGAGGAGGGCATGCCGTCCTCAAATCCAGAGGGAGTGGCCGGGC